TCATCCACCATCATTATAGTCCCATAATGCTTTATTTCATTGGGTCACAAGTTGCTGTTGACTGTCTGATCCATTCTGTCCAGCTCTGTATGTCAGATGCAATGGGCTTGATGTTTGCATATTGGAGGTTTGTCCATTCAGGCATATTCTGTATCCAGGTCTTTCTTGGTCTGCCCCTTGTCTTCTTCCCCATAACTGAGCCCTGTAATATAGTTAAATAGTTCTCATGGCAGAAGGGTTAAGTGCTTAAATTATTTTGATTTTGTCGCATCTGGTAATTTCAGATCTGCCTCCTTTCATCCGGAACTTGACTCTGGAAGAAAGACCACACCCCCTGTATGTCTGTTGCTCACACAAGAACCCGTCTGCCTCCAGATCTCCAGTGAGTTGTGAAGGAGATCATTGGAAGCCAGGTAAGATTATCGTATGAAACAATTATGTGAGAGCTCTGCTCTGCGCTGCACTAACATTATATTAAACTGACAAACACTCAGTGACCACATTATTAGGCTGTCAATTAGGCCATAATTGTTATTCAGTCGAATATTTAATTAAAGATCAGTTTTTGCCAGAAAGACATCAGATTCGACAAAATGCATGTAAAATATTCATTATTAAAAAAATGTATACAACAGCCATGCAGACTGTATTATGACCATAGTGATAAAATACGAGCATTGAGGCACAACAGTTTTTGACCTGTCATGGTCCACAGTTAAATTAATAAAGAGCTCCGAATCGACTGTGGGCAGCATGTATGACATGCCTGTTTATAGCGTCCCTTCCCTATTCTCTCAACAATTCTGATTTGCCTATGAACAGAATGTTTAGTTTGGTTTAGGAAACAAGATCCTGTGAGGAAGAGACTGTTGGGAGGTGTGAGTAGAGATACACAATACAAAAATCTTGTCAGTGACCAGGGAATCTGGTCGACACTCTGTCCTCAGAGGAAAAGTAAGGCCAATATATAATTAAACTGCTGCTATACCATTGGAAATGAAACTTTTTGCTGGCTGATAAAGATAAGGACAGAGAATGAATGGGAATGTCCAGAATGCTGTATGTTGATTCTTGCTTTAAGTCAACTTAACTCAATAAAATATCTGGATTTACACAAATTTACCAGGTATCCACAATTCATAGTAGTGGAACAAATCATTCAAATTAATTTGTCACCTAGACATGAGTATTGGATTTCAGAACTATGAAAGGGCTCTGACAGCATTTTTTAGGGAATCTCTAAAAGGTTGATGAAGCAATATAAAATTGCGCAGAAGCTCAGAATAAAGACAACACAATGACATGTAGTTTAGAGTACTTCATGAAGGAAAACTAATAGATGCTTTTCAAATAACAAGAGCTGGGCAAAAACACCTGTTACCACCTTTACTGTTCTGACTATATTTGAGCCTGAATGCAATAGCTACTACCAGAAATGGAATTTACTGAGTTCACTGTGAGACAAGCATCTTGTTAATCTGGACTACAGTCCCTCACACACACACACACAATAGAAACAAAGTAACACACTTAATAAGAGGTGATAGATTTTCTTTTTAAATATAACAACCTTCCCCCTCCCCAATCATTGAGCCTCCCAGTGCAGTGTTTAGTAGACCGAGACAGTGACTGAGGACATATACAGTGTGATGCTGCTTGAGACACAGTAAGTGCTAAGGGTTTTCATTTATTCTTGACATTTTGTAGTAGATAAGCAGCGGCAGGTTGTTGAATTGTAACGTTCTTATTTTGTTTGACCAGGAAATGAGGAGTATGATAGTGGCTACAACAGCCCCATGCACAAGAAGAATCTGGTGTCCAGTGGTGTGCAAGCTGTCCCTGTAAATATACACTCAGACAACAGGAAGATGTCAGAGGAAACGCACAGCAGTGGAAAATCCTGGGGGAAACAACAGAATATTCTGACACACCACTCCCATCAGGGTCTTCAAGAAGTCAGGGCTGTTACTGCAGCTGTATTGAAATCTGAGAGTGAAAGTCATCTGAGTGAGGATGTAGAACTAGAAGGAAAGAAGAAACGAAGGAAAAAGAAAGACCACAGAGATGTTAGTAGGTCTCCAAGGCTACTTGGAACAAACACAAGACTTCTTTCAAGGTCATCTTCTTCTGTGTCTTCAGCTGGAACAAAGCCTGATGAAGATGATGAGAAGATTGATCTTCATTCTTGGACAGATTTCCCACCAGTGTCTTCAAGGATTGGGGCTCCTTCAGCATCCTCCAAAAACTTGCTGAAGTCACCTGTCAGCCCCAGTGAGCGAGTGCCTCTTACAGTCGAAAGGTCTGCACACGAGCCACCTTGGTCAATAAAATTCTCCAGCGCTGATCAGTTGAGATCTGAGCGACATCGATCATCAAGTGGAGACAAGGACAAAGGTTTGAGCCCTAAAATCAGTTCACCTCCAGAGTCTGCTTGGGGTAGAATAGGCCGCAGCTTTCGAAGTAGCCAGACTGCCGGCCTGGGACAGGAACTCTCACACATGATCTCAGGTACTGAGAATGTGCCTCTGTTGAACTTCGGAGGAAAGGCTGATGGCCTAGTGGCGAATGATGCCAACAGAGTCAGTGGTGCAGAATCTGTTTCAAGAAATCCTTCATTACAGCTTAACAAAAACAATGCTTCCTTGAATAGAATAAGTGATATTTCAAGAACTAACAATAAGCAGGAAGTGGAGCCTGGCACAACAGCAAAAATCAGCTACAGTCGTACTCCCTCAAGCATTGTGACAAGTAGGCATGCAGAGCTGGGTAAGAACCACATTGTCTTGTCATGATCTTGGCATGTGGTGTTAGTAATAAGGTCTGTCCATAGCCTTCTGTCTCATGTACTGTCAGTCATTTCTGATACAGATGTTCTTCTATGCCATGATGCCAGACTGTCCAAAATCTTCTTTCTGGGTAGCTGTAGCTTGCAATGAAAAAAAAAGTTTTCTTCTTATGTAACCCCTTTAATACATTTTTCATTAAGATGGCACTCAAATGTATCCACTTGTTACAGACTTGTCCCATTTAATGTGGTGTTGCATTTCTTCTTTGCAATTGCCATTTCTTCTGTTTTTCTGCTTCTCCAACTGAGATATTTGTTCTGACTTTCTGTTGTGCCCATTATTTCTTGTATTTGCAATTAATTTTCATCGATCAAAACTGTATCATCAGAATAAAGCAGGTTGTGAACAGTCTACCCAGCAGCTGACATTCCTGGCACATTTTGTGGGGATCTCTCATTATTGTTTCACTGTACAACTTGAATTGATTGGATAATGATACTGATTTAATAGCTTGTTTGATGTGTTGAAAAGAACTACAGGTCATCAGTTAATTACAGTTGCTTCAACGTTGCCCCATATTTCCTGCCTTCCTTTGCAAATAAAAGCCACACAAAATGTCATAGTCACTGTCCCTTGTGAAAAAATTAACATAGACTGCAGTCTTAACAATTCCAACAGCATATATGCACGTTAAATGCATAAAGTAGCCATCAGAAGGGCCAACACAAATAGGCCAACACTAGAACTGCAGTTCATCCTTGATGGAGCAGCAGATGCAACAGATCAGTAGCTGCACATGCATAATCACATAAGGGACCACAAGTTCTCTGGCAACAGTCCACTCAATATTTTCTGAAGATGCTGTTCACAACAGTCGAAAAGTATTAAAAATCTTCAGCTTACAGTGTCGCGCCATGCACTTAGCTCAATAGTTGGGCAACAGAACTATATCCTTTCAGTCTACCAATGTAGGAAAATGCAGTAGCTAACTATTGTCAGAAGCAAAAACTTGGCCACGACTTAAATCAGTAAAAAAAAATCAAGCCGGCGTATTGAACCAGAAGAACTGAATGACTCAATTAAATCATTATCATCACATGCTGTTCTGATAAGGAAAGGAGGCCTTGGTTCCTACACAGACACCAACATTTTTGAGGTCTGTGTTCTTGTCCTGCCCCTAACATTTGTCTCAGCCATTCATAACACTGTGTTTTATGCTAGATGACTCAAGTCTCAAACAGAGCAGAAGTTCACCCGCCTAGTCTGTCCCACAAAGCAGTAAATATTATAGTACTGTGTCGACACCCAGGGATCTTTGATACAGCTACCCTGGTGAAGAGTGGTCATTTACCTGGCTTGTTTTTATACAAGAGTTCTGGTTATTTTGTCCACTTCTAGACCTTGGTCTTGTTCCAGAGTTTTTTGTGCACAAGCATTTTACAGGTCTGGCATATTTGTATGCAGACTGTTGGTTCCTCATCTCTTAGACAGATGAACTGCAATTTTAAAGGAATGACTCTCAGTTAGTCGACTTTTAGTACTTGCTTGCTAGAGGGTAGTTAATATATTCCCCCATCTAATAGTTGGGTCTTGGAAATCACAGGCGGATTATACAGTTGGTGTGGACAGTATATGTTGTCATGAACATCTGTCATTTGTCTGTCATGTATCTATACTGTGGGTGTGGACAGTATATGTTGTCATGAACATCTGTCATTTGTCTGTCATGTATCTATACTGTGGGTGTGGACAAAATATGTTGTCATGAACATCTGTCATTTGTCTGTCATGTATCTATACTGTGGATGTGGACAGTATATGTGGTCATGAACATCTGTCATTTGTCTGTCATGTATCTATACTGTGGGTGTGGACAGTATATGTTTTCATGAACATCTGTCATTTGTCTGTCATGTATCTATACTGTGGGTGTGGACAGTATATGTTGTCATGAACATCTGTCATTTGTCTGTCATGTATCTATACTGTGGGTGTGGACAGAATATGTTGTCCTGAACATCTGTCATTTGTCTGTCATGTATCTATACTGTGGGTGTGGACAGAATATGTTGTCCTGAACATCTGTCATTTGTCTGTCATGTATCTATACTGTGGGTGTGGACAGAATATGTTGTCATGAACGTCTGTCATATATTCATACTGTTGGTGTGGACAGTAATGTTTGCATTTTTGGTTTTGTTATTGTTGTTGCAGATACTGCCAAGAAAGCCTCACTTGTGAATACTGGCTCTAGGACATTAAACCAACCTGTGATATCAGCTTCCTCATCATCTTTGCCAGCATCGCCAATCATGCTACAGACCAGTTCCTTAATCAACCCAGCAGTTGTCCCATTAGTGCACATAAGACCAAGTTTACAACAAGGCATCAACTACCAGTTGAATGAGCTGTTTCTACGATCATCTTCTTTGTCACCACGAGGAAATACAGTTCCTAACCAGACGTTCACACCTGCTGTCAATTCAACAGAAAGAACATTTTCAGTCAGGCCTCCTAACCCAATATTTTTACCAGGAGGAACAACTAGTCAGACTTTACATTCAGTGATCCCTCCATGTCAGAGTGGCAGTGTTGCATTCACACAACCTCCTCCTCCTATTTCCTTCTCTGGTTATAATGGGGTCCTGACGTATCCACCTCCCATGTTTAATGCTTCTGCGATAGTTTCCAATGGCCCTTATCACCACAGTGAGCTGGGTTATCAGCCATCACCTGCAGCGTATGCTTCAAGCTCAGTGGGAGCTGCTAGAAACTTCAATGTCTACGGGGTATCCCACACAGGAGCGGCAGCTGTACATTCAAGTACTAGCAGTACAGCCCATACTCCTAGTCCAGCTTCTGCAACAACCGATGTAAAGTCTCAGTCCACCATCAGTGCCTCCATCCAGCAACATAAACTTACCAATGAGCCCAAATCAGCAAATATTCTGGACAGCCCCCAGAATTCAGAGTCTGATGGAAATAAAAAAAGAAGAAGAAGACGAAGGAGAAGATCTAGGACTAAACAAGGGAGCAGAGAAACTGAAGAAGCAGAAGAAGGCAGTGATGGCTCTCAGATTCAAGGACGAGCACTTTCCAGCTCCGCAGTCTCAGGGTCTGTCCTACATTTTGAAGATGAGGATGAGTTTCCAGACCTGCTGACCTCAACATCTCATGGACATCCTGAAGGTCTTGACGGACATGAAAGGTCAACACTGTCTGGGGCTTCCATCACATACAGTGATATCCTGAAATCGGTATGTTCTGCTTGTTTTTGTTCAAAGATGTCACGATTATGCCAGGTTTTACTTAATTTCCTCATTCTGTTGATTTTTAGATATATTCTCTGATTCTGTAGGTTGTTAGAATTCTTCCCAGATTATTTAGGTTTCTAGATATATTTCCTGATTCCGCAGGTTTTTAGATATATTCTTTGATTCTGTAGGTTTTAGGTATACTCTGATTCTTTATTTATATATTTTAAAATTTTTTTTAAAGATGTCTCTGATTATGTAGGTTTGTCTATATTCCAGGGCTCTGAAGGTTTGTACACATGATCCCTGGTTATGAAATAGTATAGTAATTTTATAGTGGAAACTGCAAACTGTGAAGTGGTAGAACTGAAAAAAAATATAGTAAAGAACTCTATAGTTTGATTAATGCGTCTTTCAACCTTGTGGAAGAGGTGGTTTTAAGTATCTTACTTTTCTTAACGTTCACCTTCTGTAAACTCCAGCAGAAAGTTCTAGTTATTCGTTCATTTCTGGACTTTGGTTGGTTTTGTTCCAGAACTGGAGTTTTGTGTGCATATTCATTCGACAGACCTGGCTTATCTGTATGCAAATAGTTGGTTCCTCACCCCAGAGGCAGAAGTACCCCAGCTTCTAGGAAGCACCCCTAATTAGTCATGACATGCTTGTTATGGGGGCGGTGGGTCTATTCTATAAATTTAAGCTCGGAAACCCACACAGAAGGATTGAAAAAAAAAAAAAGGCTTTGAAGGTCATTGCAAATGCAGGTAGGGAACACAGATTTCTGTACACAGTATTCATTCATTATCCTGTTGTGCCATTACATGTCACACAAGGTCTCGCAGTCTGTTCCTCCATTCAGCTCTATCCTGTTCAATCAGTTCAGTCTCATGAATGGAATCCAGACCAGCAGCTTTGGCCTCTCCCATCAAATTTGTCTTAGGTGGCATCATTTTCTGCAAGTTTCTGTTGCAATTAATTTTTGTAGTGTAGGGCAGCTGGCCCCATGACCACCCTCCTCCTTTTTCATCGGGGCTTGGGACTGGCAACAGTATAGTTACTAACCACCTAATTATTTCAGGGAAGGAGTATGGTCTGGGACTGCGTGCAAGATCTCACAGCCAACTAGAGAAGTTGGAATGCATGCAAAATGCAGCAGTGCAAATCATTTGGGATATATGAGGGATATGTAAATTTTATGCATGCGGCACAGAGCTGACTCTTGTATGGTACACAGGCAGAAGAAAGCTGACTCTTGGATGGCACAGACAGAAGAGAGCTGACTCTTGTATGGTACACAGGCAGAAGAAAGCTGACTCTTGGATGGCACAGACAGAAGAGAGCTGACTCTTGGATGGCACAGGCAGAAGAAAGCTGACTCTTGGATAGTACACAGGCAGAAGTGGGATGACTCTTGCATGGCACAGGCAAAATAAAGCTGACTCTTGGATGGCACAGGCAGAAGAAAGCTGACTCTTGGATGGCACAGGCTGAAGAGAGCTGACTCCTGGATGGCACAGGCTGAAGAGAACTGACTCTTGGATGGCACAGGCTGAAGAGAGCTGACTCTTGGATGGCACAGGCAGAAGAAAGCTGACGTTTGGATGGTACACAGGCTGAAGAGAGCTGACTCTTGGATGGCACAGGCAGCTGACTCTTGGATGGCACAGGCTGAAGAAAGCTGACTCTTGGTTGGCACAGGCAGAAGAGAGCTGACTCTTGGATGGCACAGGCAGATGAGAGCTGACTTTTGGATGGCACAGGCAGAAGAGAGCTGACTCTTGGATGGCACAGGCAGAAGAGAGCTGATTCTTGGATGGCACAGGCAGAAGAAAGCTGACTTTTGGATGGCACAGGCAGAAGAGAGCTGATTCTCAGATGGCACAGGCAGAAGAGAGCTGATTCTCAGATGGCACAGGCAGAAGAGAGCTGACTCTTAGATGTCATGGGCAAAAGAGAACTGACTCTTGGATGGCACAGGCAGGATTCACTATCTGAAATTTTGTGCAGTTGACAGCATCATGTATGGTGAGTCATATCTGACCAAGACCTGACCTGATGGATCGACAGGGAAAGGTTAAAAAGAGTGGATTTGGTTTTATTGCAAATGAGAATAGTTGTTTACAAAACTGAAAGCCTTGCATATAGTATTGCAGCATCTAGCATGAGATGCAGATGGAAGCAGTAATGGTAGCTTTCTAATGACTCGGGGGTTGTACAGCCCGACCTGTTGTAATTAGAACTGACTTGCAGGGCATGTTTCAGAAAATAGAAACCAGTGTCTTGCCCTCTTTGTGGCTTGTATGACTTGATAATACTTAGATGAAAAAAAAAAAAAGAATATTGTAGATTTTTTGCCCAGGACATTTGGGTGTGCATGTTAAGGACCAGGCTGTTAGATTAGCTGATGTTGCCCTTCTGGATGGTGAGCTTCTTTATCATAAAATGGACATGGTGAAGACTCTGGGATTAGTTAACAGTGCAGATAGAGCAATAATATCTGGAGAGAATGATTCAGCTGGGAGCTAGCACAGGGTCTGGATGGTTCTTTTACCCAAGGGGGGAAAAACACTTTTTAATCACGTTGCGGCTGGCACCATTAGAATGGAAAGTCCTTGTTAGATACTGAAAAAGTGAAACTGAGCACATGTGAGAATGTCCCAAGTGCATTTATATTAGTCTTTTATAAGTAAAATCCTGTTCAACCTTTCTGGACTGCATGGACATGTTTAGCATTTTTGCAATTTCATAACTGTGTTGTACATTGTTTTGTTCAGCTGTTCTACAACACTGGCTAAATGACATCAAATGACGAACAAATTTGTCTTATTTGTTTAACAGTATTTTCATACTGTGTGGATATCATTTTGATGTTAATAATATGGATATTGATTCATAAATTGTTGACATTGTTTATGTTTCTGTGACTCTAGACATGGTCAAAGGCAGGAAGTCAGAGTCGCACGCAGTCTCTGACAGGTTCTTGTGTGTCGGGAGATATTGACGAGGAAGACAACACCAGCTGTCACACAGGCAAGTGTGGTTGTGTGTGTGTGCCCACTTGTATCCTCATTATGTGCCAAGCCAATTAGCATAGAGGGTCGTGGTTGGCTATCTGACAGGATCACCAGAATCATGGACCAGGTCTTCATTCTGTTTTGCTCAAGCCATATTGCTAAGTAGACAAGAAGCTCACCTCCAGATTAAAAGGTCATGAGTTCAAATGCAATCAGACCTTGTCTCCCAGTGGAACCAGCTTTAAATGGGCTCCAGGTGAAGTTCTGGGAAGCAAAGGCAGTGGCCTGATGTTGACCACATCACCCACTGAGTGGCAGTTGGTCTGTAAAATATTGATCTACCACTCTATGCCCAATATGCCTGAAGAAGTAAAAAATGGTCCTTATTTTGCTATGCCCATCATTATCCATGGTGTAGATTACTTGATACTATTAATCAATTACGCCTAATGGCATGTAATATGATATGCACTATTTCATCACCATCAGTTTCTACTTCTACTAAAGATTGTGGGTAGGAACATTTTGCAGTTCAGTGCTCAGCTGATATCATTGACCATCGTGGTTCAGTGTACATATAGAATGTCTTTATTGTCATTAGTCTATCTTCCCCTTGGATGCCCTTTTGCTCTCACAGATAATTAATTGTAGTACCTTTTCTGGGAGTTGTAATGGCTGCATTCTAATGGGATGACTGAACCGTTTCATCTTCTGCTTCTCACTGAATTTGGTACAACGTATTGTTCTTACAGTCTTTCTCACATTGTTATTTTTAACCACATAATGGATGGTTAAAATGGTTGCTTTTATCAGGCATCTCATCTCTTAGACATTAAGTTTACTAATGTGAGCCTTTGGTAAAGATGAGCACTGGTAGCACAGTGTTGGTATGAATATGCTGTTTATGATCTGTTGTTTGAGAGTCATACTTATGTTTGAACACCAGTTTGTATATAAGTGTACTTGTTCTTTATGTACATATCATGTACCCAGAGTGCCTCAAGGCGTGGAAACAGATCTTCTGGTAATACTTTCCTGTAAGGCATTTGTCTCACTGAAATCTATTACCAAGGGGGTAGATGTAATAAACAATTTCAACAGCCTATGGGTTTGTTACATATCGGGCTAGAGGGTACTTATCTAAAGCAAACTAAAAAGTTTCAATATCTTGGCAGTATATTCTCGGAGGATAAAAGAAAAGATTCGGGAAATAGAAACAAGATGCCAACGATCCAGTGCACTCTTATACCAACTGACACCATTATTAAGACATCGAAACATAAGTATGAGCACCAAGAAACAGATTATAAACAGCATATTCATACCAACACTGTGCTGCCAGTGCCAAACTTGGACATTATCAAAGGCTAATCTACATAAAATTAACACCTGTGAAATGAGATGCCTGAGAAAAGCCGCCAACTTAACCATATGAGACAGTTACAAATGATATTGTCAGACAGTGGACCAACACCATGCAGCAAATTCATTGAGAAACATAAGGTCAAATGGTTTGGTCATCTAGTAGGTATGTAGCCAGAACAGCTACAATACAGGCACTACACATGAAGAGATCTGAAGTGAAAGCGAAAGGCTGCCCTAGGAGAATATGGATTGATGACATGAAAGAGCTTCTAGATCAGTACAGAATTAAAATAGCCATTGTTGCCCACCAAGCAATGGATCACAGACTGTTTCTCCACACACACACACACACTTAAACCCTTGAATATGCACTGGTCTTCATGACAATCAGCACCACTTTGATGAACAGACTGGAACAAATTGAAAATGAATCAATGCGTATTATTCTTGGATGCACTAGAGACACCTCCTGTAAATCCATGTGATACCTCTTGGATTTACCCTGAGTGGAAAACAGAATCAAGCTATCCAGAGCTGTTGCTTTCCTCAAAGTGAAGTCAAACCATCAACACCCACTTTGTGAGAAATTATTCAAGCAAAAAAAAAAAAAAAGAAAGATAAGAATAGACTTAAACAAGGAAAATTCTGGATGGGCCGCGCTGAGGATGCCATAGAACATGTTTGCCGCTTTACTGATATTAATTTTGGAATTGAATTGATAATTATGCCTCCTTCTAAAAACATATATATTACAGTCCACATCACACTTGATGAAAGCTGAAGAGAGTAGATTCCTGGCATTGTTGACACTTTAGTCAGAACACTGATTGATGAGAACACAGATGAAGGTGATGCTATAGTTTACATAGACCGGTCAGTAGTTCGGGGCAAGGGAAGTGCATGGGCATTCATGGTAAGCTCAAGGGGGAAAACCAACAAGGAGATGAATGGCGCTTTTGCTGTTACAACTAGCAGCCTTACAGTGGAAACTATGGCTGTAACAAGGGCATTAGCGTGGCTCGGAAATATGCTTAAAACAATCCAGGCTGGTTTTATCAGACAAGAATGAATTGCAACACTTAGCACATCGTGAATGGCTGCCCTAACCTTAATCTTTGTGCCAGGTCAGGTGGGTGTTCAAGGGAATGAGCATGAAGATCATCTTCCAGACACTGTGGTTGCTATGGCTGGTCCAGTACTGGACAGAAGCGATGTTATCAATGCACTTACCACACTGAGGAGCACGCTGAAGGACATGACTCTGTATTCCTCACTAGGCTGATGGACATGGGGGTGCAGCCTGGAGCTGCCAGAAATTAACATTTAACTAACAGGCCAGACATTTCATTAACCAACACAGAACAGGCGTCATTAGTCATTTTACACTTATGGAGCTTTTGAGGAGGAGATCGGAGAGCTATGGATCTGTCCGGAGTGCTGTGATGATAATCCTTGCTAATCACATGCTTAATAGCAGAAGTGAAAATTGGTGATGATTCGGATCATGATGATGAGTTTGCTAGATGTGTGTTACTGAAGAAATGGGAAAGCCTGACTACTAACAAGTCAGTCTGTATCACTCACTATGGCATTTAGGTGAGAAGCAAAATGAGATTACCACAGCAGTTGAAATGTTCTGTTTTTAAATAATGATAATGCCACTAGTTGTTGATAGTGTGTGGTAGCATCGGTGCTCTAAAATTATGCTTAGTCCAGAGTAGGTTAAAATCATGATCTGTACAGTAGATATGCAATGATTTGCATGACTCTTGAAAAAATACTTATTCTCACCAGGGACCACAAATGAATCAAAAAGGGCCAGGAAGAGAAGAAAGCGCAGAGAGCAAGCTAACAAAGCAGCAGAAGCAGAACTTGCTGAAATATCATTAGAGCAGCAGTGGTTGAAAGAGGTGGGGCTGAAAAAACCACCCAATCACAGAACAGCAGAAGGGGGAGTTGGGAAAGCTACACCTGGCTTGATAACCAATTCCTATGTGATTAATGAAGCTAAAAAACAGACAAGTGGCAAGGGTGGAGATAGGAAGTCTCAGCAGCCAATAGCGTTTGATATAGCTGCCATGATTGATGCTATACAGGTCAGTTATTGTTTATTGTCTAGCCCTATATGCCCAATATGCTTGAAAAATGTAAGGATCATCATCGTGCTCTTTCTAAAGTACTGTTTGTACACATCTCTTAATAATTTCTGGGCATCTTTGTAAAGGATGGTTCAGTCTTTTACTAGTTTGCCTGACCGGAGCTCCTATGTATGATTATTTTTACTAAAAATAAAAAAGGTAAGGGGGGGGGGGGAGCGGTTATTGAGGAAAAAAGAACTTTTTTTCAGTCATTATGCATCATAATGACATCATTATTCCCTTTTATTTAATAATTCCCTTTTAATAATCATAATAATCATGGTATGAGTCACCATATAAATTATTTATCTTAAAGTTCAAAGCATTTTATTCTCCGCTGTGTTCATTTTTAATGATTACTCCTATTTTTTTTAAATTGGTTTTTAAAATGTCTAAATTGATGAAACATTTTTTTTTTCTGAGTGACTTGTTTCCAAGGCTTTTTTCTGTGTAAAAAATGTGAGGTTCTTGGGTTTTTCATCGCTGAGCAATGTTTGCTGCACCACCTAGACTGAAAGGTATTCAGTATCGTACGTGAATACAAAAGATGATGACATTTCAGAGCATATAATGTTATGAGCCAGATATGTGAAGGAATTATTTTCAGTTGTTTTATGAACAGTTCAACTGCTTGTGTATACATATTTAGGCCTATATGGCCTATGACATAAAACACCTGGTAAATGACGAGACGAGCAACGCTGTATGACAACTGATTTGACATTTAACAGAAAGGGGAAAAAAGTAGATGTGTCCTTGACATTACCATGACAAATTAATGTCACAAAAGATGAGAGCCAGATTTGTGGATTTCATTGCACACTTTGCATAAAAATGAAAACTTACACTGTTAAAATTTTGTTTTTTCCTCTTTCTTTCTAGAAAAAACCGGTTGTGTCACCTACTTCAACTTTAACCAGATCACAGCATGCAAACTCCATGGTGCCAAAGAAAGAGCAAGTCACAGTTGGCACTGCATCTTTAAATTTACCTGGCAATATGTTGGATTCATCAGCACCATTGCTAAAACGAGGTAAAGAAAGAGAGGTAGGAAAAACCAAAAAGCCAAGTCCATTGAAGAAAGTCATCTTGAAAGAGAGAGAACAGCGCAAAAGGCTGATGCTGCTTGATGAGGATCCAGACTCTGCTGCTGGCCTTGGAAATGTTGGGTGAGATACAACATGATGTTGATGATTTGTTTCCATTTATTTTCTGGGATGTTTCTGCTTCTGGTATGGCCTGGCTATTCGTCCTGACCATTTTCAAACAGATATCACATATTGTTCTAGTTGAAATCACTGAAAACAAACATTGACCAGTTCAGACACATGAAGACAGCTGTGGACAAAGTGACTATCTGGTGAACAGAGATGGGCGCTGTCATAAACTCAGAACAGGTGGCTCTTTTGTAATGCTCTATGGACAATAGAATTGTAAAAGTTAATGTTCCAAGCCTCACAGGTAATGACAGAAACATCAAAAGAGAAAGCAAACTGAGGTACCTGGGTAACATTTTCATGTAGAGGCAGTTCTGGTGAAATGCCAAAAAGGACTCAGGGCTCTCAAAATTATGGCATCAGTGGACATGGAACAAAGAATGTTGGTCACAGTGTTCCAACATGTAATCTTGTCGGTGACAGATTATGAACTTGGAATGCTCACAGTATCAAAGAGTCGGCTGAGGAAACTTGAACGCATACAGAAGGAAGCCATGCGGGTAATTCTTGGATATATAAGAGATACCCCGGTAGTATGTATGTGATATATGCTTACTGTTGCCATCAGAATTGGAACTCTTTGCTTGCTGCTGAAGATGAGGACAGAGCACTTATAGGAATATCCAGATTGATGTGATGTTGATTCTCAATTCAACATTCAATATTTATTTATTTTCTGAAGAAGATATTTTCAATTGATTCCTCCAGACTGTTAGGCTCCTCACCTCTGCATACAAAAAGGCCAGATTTGTAAAACTGGACACAGTAGTTTACAGGCGGTGAACGCAAAGAAAGAAGAAAAATTAATTTCTTGTGTGAATAATATTGTTTTTTTTTTTTCATAAAAAAACTCCAGGAGAAAGGACAATTCTTATCAGAGTCTTTGTATTGTTTATTGTCATTTGACCAACTGAATTCTTCATAGACAGCTTGTTTTTCTGTTTGGACCATTTTAGAATGGTTATAAGATTAATAGTTATAAAATGTTAGTGTTGTCAGTGTGACAGGCATTCTGAGTCGGGTGAGGGGAATCCCATGCTACGGCAAACTGCTTGCAGCATGCAAAACCATGCACTGAATCACCTGACAGATGCTGAAGAGTGCTTCTTCTAAGTGAAGAAAATTAACAAAGACACACCAGTGCAAGCCGCAGCTTACTAGTTAAGGTGAGTTGACTTGAGTCAAGAATTGACATCACAGCACTCGGTACATTCCCATGTGTGCTCCATCCTCATCTTCGGCAGCCAGTTCAGAGTTCCAATACTGATGGTACTGGTCACAATCTGGTTATATATCCGTCTTGCCTTTCTTCTGAGTGTAGTATGCCGATCAGACCTTCTGGTTACAGCCAGGTGCCTCATTCTCTCAAGGCAAAGCTTACTAGCTATTGGCCCTAGAATGCCGTCGAGGATGGACAACACTTGGTCACGGCTGATAAATCCATCATACCCATGGAGATAGCATTTGATATGTCTGTCATACCAACTTACAGGACAACATGCAAATTATTTTGCATGAGTAAATGGACAGTTGAGGTGTACTTAGGTTGGCAGTTGTGATACTTTGCAACATTACTTGAATACACTACTAGAAAGTTGCTGACCCCTGATGTATGAAAGATTGCAGCAGTGGCAGCCAAACACAGCAGCATAATGTTGATCACATGACCCAGGGAGTGCTGATTGTTCTAAACAAATATGAGTCTAGCATCAAATGCCCGATGGGCCAAAGAAGGGTCCTTTACTGACTTTTAATGAACACAGTCAACAATGCTGTCAATATCCAAGCACTGTTTCCCAGTTGTTAATTTGAACAGAGAAGACACAAACAATAGATTGCACAATTTATTGCCTGGCATATTTAGCTGCATCTCATCATGTGCATACCACAGTAACAGTTGATTACAATGAAGAAAATTAATGAATCCTTTGAATTGAAAGACAAAATCGACTTCATTTAAAAGCGGTTTGTATCACCAAGGTACATACAAGGTGAAGAGCAGGTTCTTTTGTCTGCAAAATTCTGGACTAAACTGGTTGATAGTGGTCAAGTGTTTTGAATGTAGTCAGTTTTTTTTTTTTTCACTTCAAAGGGTTCATTAATTAGCTTCATTTGAATCGATTATTGCTGTCGTTTGCACCTGAGAAGATGCAGCAAAATATGCCAGGCAATAAATTGGGCAATTTATTATTTGTGTTTTCTTTGTTCTTGTGGAGGATACAACAACTTCTTTGCTTTCATGTCAAACTACAAGCACATCAGAAACTATGAACTATGGCTTGTAGATGACATGATTTGTTGATATAGGTTCCTTTGTCCTTTTTTGTCACAGAGCTTCATCTGGAGTGGGCATCGTTGGTGGGGAGAGTGAGCTTAGCCAAGATGGTGAGTTTGTCATCACTTGTATCAGTCTGTTTATTGTCAGAGAGAGATATAAGCCAAACGGGTTAGTTTATCATTATTTTTATGTTATTGTTTATTGTAACTGAGCCAAGCCAGGATGGGAAGTTTGTCATCACTCGTATTAGTCTGTTTATTGTCAGAGAGAGATCAGCCAAACAGTTTAGTTTATACGTTTTAGTTTATTGTTACTGGGAAAAGCAAGAATGGGAAGTTTTGATAATATGTTTAAAGAGTGCATGGCATAAAGTTTGGGTGATGTAAGAGTTAACAATGGGAAAAATAATTTTCTGTTAATAAAGGTACTTGGTGACAGACCAGTCCGGAGTTAATTACTGTTCACAACAGGGAGCACAAGTAAAAATAGTCATTTAAGTAATTCTAGCATGGTGATCTCTGACAGCTGACTAGTGGTCATGGTGATCTCTGACAGCTGATTGGTGGGCATGGTGATCTCTGACACCTGATTGGTTGGCATGGTAATCTCTGACAGCTGACTAGTATGCATGACATTGAGCACTCAGGGTAGTAGATAACACTAAGTTTACGCAGGGGGCAGATATGCAAGTTTGTTTAGTATTGAGAATTATGAATGTGAAGCATTCTAGAACATTGCTTGTTTAGGACAGACATGGACAACCTGATTGTATCACTGGAATTTGTCAGTAACAGCTGATTTTCTCATGGCAACTAATATGACATACAACACCCTACTTTTTTTCTTCTTCATACATTTAGGCGCATCGGGTGTAGAAGAGCACCCGTATTTTTACAGACCAGTCAGGTGGGTAATGTGGTCAGCATTAAGCCGGGCATGTTTACTTTCCAAGGACTTACATCTTGGTACCCAGTTTAGACTGGGTCGACCTGCGACGCCTCATACCATGATAAAAATCCACATAGCCAGCAGTGGGTTTCGATTGCGGCACATTGGAATTAGGAGTCTGACTCGCAGCGCCTAAGCCACGGATGTCGTTACACAACACTCTAGATTTATAATAATTAGCTCTGTGCAAGTAGGATTTGTTTCCCATGGGTGCCGGAACCTGGGAGGCCAAAAGAAAAAACAATTTGCTGTTTAAATCCCCCCCCCCCCCCCCCCCCCCCCCACCCCCCCCCAGGCCTTTGAGATCTACTGGGTGATTGTTTATTTAATTTTTCTTATATTTTTATTTTATTTTGTTGGGAACCTATGTTGTAGCTCTCAGCAACAAGTCTGGGGATACAAGCAGTGGTGACGCAAACGGTGGAGCTGAACTTTCTGCAGATTTCTCACCCATAAGTCAGACTTCTCCCATTTCAATGTCACCGGCCTCACCTGGAAATTCTGGAGTGAATTCTCCCATTACAGGATCAGTAGGTCGTGATCCAGTTGTGATGAAGATCCATAGTCGAAGATTTCGAGAGTAAGTAGATTATACTTCTGGCAAAGTTTAAGTGTAAATGTTATAGAATATACTTTTGGTACAGTTTAAGTGTAAATGTTATAGATTATACTTTTGGTACAGTTTAAGTGTCAATGTTATAGAATATACTTTTGGTACAGTTTAAGTGTAAATGTTATAGAATATACTTCTGGCACAGTTTAAGTGTCAATGTTATAGATTATACTTTAGGTACTGTTTAAGTGTCAATGTTATAGATTATACTTTAGGTACAGTTTAAGTGTCAATGTTATAGATTATACTTTAGGTACAGTTTAAGTGTCAATGTTATCAACAATCCGGTCTTATTCTTCTTAGCGTTTACTGGTTGTAAGAAAGTTTTAATTGTTCAGCCACTTCTGGACTTTGATCTTGTTCCAGGACTGAGTTTTGTGTGCAGATCAGGATTATTTGTATGCAGACTATTGGTTCTGCACCTCCCAGGCAGATACACTCAGCATTTAATTAATGTCAACCTAATGAATTGTTTGAAGCAAATACTTGAGAATGTCTGTTTTTTTCATTTTAGTTTCACTTGTGTAACTATAATTAATATAAAGCCACATCAAGAAGACTGGGTACTCTGGCAAGAACTGCTCTCCAATAGATGGCAGATGGGACAAGGAGACCTGGATGACCTAAGGAAACCTGGAGAAGGATAGTAGAAAAGCAAATAGAGGAATGTAAAAAGACGTGATACTATAGGCAGACAAGCAGCAGTCAGTGGAGGGAGAAAGATAGACGTGCAGATAGACTTTGTGCCCTCATTTTATAAAGTAAAGACAGTAAACGTGTAGATGAAATAGCTGATCAGAAACGCCTGCTAAAGTTTGCTTGCGGGTTTATTTAGGAGATTGTAAGAATATTCATATGTTGGCTTTTTCTCTAGATACTGCACCCAGATCCTGGACAAAGAGATAGACCAGTGCTGTACCTCCTTGCTGCAAGATCTGGTCAAGTTTCAGGACAGGATGTACCATAAGGATCCTGTTAAGGTGATGTGCAATGTTTCTGACTTGTTTCGTCCCAGGCTATTTTTTTTAACTTCACCACTTTCTCTGTCTGTAGGCAGGGTTGGTCAGTCTCAGTGGGAAATCCGCAAAAATTGGCTGATTTAATTAAAATGAAAATCTAAAGTAAATAGGTGTGGAGAGGTGTGGAGTCAAGCTTTCAAGCTTAGGGCACACGTTGCTTGTTCACTATTTTTGATAGAATAATCATAATTTCCTTTTTTCAAAAATAACCTTGGCTTCCAGATCAACCCAGCATTAGATGGATTTGTTTTTGGGGGTAGGGCTTATATTAAAAGCAGCCTGACAATTCATGCTGGGGCTTATTTTTGGGGGAGGTCTTATTTTTTCTTTTAACGAAATCACTGTAGATATCTCTAACCACGGTTACAGATTACTTATTTTTATTGGAAAAGAAGCACTCTTGTCTGCCTGCCAGTTAGAGCTTTCATCCTAAACCGGCCAAGATTAAGAATTATTAAAACTGCCACCTTCAGTTTTCAGCTTCCCCGAATCAGTTTGAAATAATAATTGACTTTCACACATTTCACAAATCTGCAGGCAAAATCGAAGAGAAGGCTTGTCTTGGGTTTACGAGAGGTCACCAAACATCTGAAGCTGAAGAAAATTAAATGTGTGGTGATCTCCCCTAATTTAGAGAAAATTCAGTCCAAAGGTAGGTGCTCAGCAGGACATTATATTTCTCACATTGTTAGACATCTTTTATGGAAGAAATGTTCCACACCACATTTACTGCGCAGGAACAAGCATGTTGTGAAAATGGACTAATCAGGGATGCTTCCTTGGACATTGGAGTTCATCTGCCTGAGAGGTGAGCAACCACCAGTCTGCATACAAATGAGCTGGATGCTGAGTTGAGTTGAGTCAAGAATTGACATCACAGCACTCAGGGCATTCCCATATGGGCTCCATTCCCATCATCAGCAGCCAGCGCAGAGTTCCAGTACTGATGGTGCCAGTCGCAATCTGGTTATATGTCTGTCTTACCTTTCCTCTGAGTGTAGTGAGCCGGCCAGACCCTCTGGTTACACCCAGGTGTGTCATTCTCTCCAGCCCCTTAAAAATCTAGTTTCTTTTCTGACTTTATTACTTGTTCCAAAAGTGCCTTGACCACATCTGCTTTGTCATGTATCAGTTCACCACCCAGCGGTGCAGATCCAGCCAGTCTGTCTGCCTGTTCAGTACCCACCATACCGGCATGGCCTAGAGAAAAGATCCAAAGTATGCTCACTACCTGTGACCTTCCCAGTAAATGACTGTATATTTCAAAACCACTGTAGTCTCAGGCACATGTCTTCGCATGTAGGCTCAGTTCAAAGTGCAACACTGTGTGTTGGAGTGAGTGGAACAAATGAGCCAGATCTGTAAAATGAATCTGCATGCAAAACTTAAGTTTTAGAATAACCAGAACATTTCACTGAAGAAAAGGCGGGAAAAAAATTAGAAAGATCACACAGTTGACTGACAGTCCACATTTATTGCTATCAGATAAGATACAGATTGGTTTCTTTTTGAGTTAAGTTGATTGAAGAACCTGCATCAGAGCATTTGGGGCATTCCCATAAGCGCTGCATCCCCATCTTCAGTAACCAGCACAGAATTCTGGTTATACTTTCGTCTTGCTTTTTCTCTGAGCGTCGTGTATTAACCAGTTCTCCTCCTCCCCCACCCCCCCCCCCCAACTGCATCACTCTCACAATACTGTGGTGATTCATTTGCTCCTCTGACTTGTACATGTTTTTCCACAAGGCCCTTACCACGTGTGACTTATTATGTATCAGCATTCCACGAAGTTGTGAAGTGCCAGCCAGTCTGTCTGCCTGTTCATTACCCAGCACTCTGGTATGCTCTGAGAAAAACTTCAGGCAATGCCCCTCACCCGTGATCTCTGAGCATGCCAGTCAACACGAAGCCTGCCTGTCCTCACCTTCCCCATGCTTTATAATTCAGTTACAATCATGATGTGTGTGTGTTTTGTGTTCTCCAGCCAGCGGAAAGCTGCAGTGACCGCCTCCACCTCCATTCTTAGGCTATATATTGTGATATCATCAAACCAAACATCAACCATTGGTTTCTTTTTAAGCATTGGTATAATTTCTGTTTAAAGGTTACACACAATTTATAATTATCTCAATTTCTTGTGTTATTTATTCTTCTTTAATTTTCATGGTTTATTCTTTCAAACTTTAAATACTTGTCATAATAATTTTCTTAGACGCCTTACCTGACGGTCCTAGGACATTGTTTTTTTATGACTTCTATGCAATTCACACATATTATTTCATAAGTTACACATTGTTTTTTCATGACTTCTATGCAATTCACACATATTATTTCATAAGTTACATTGTTATTTCATGACTTGTATGCATTTTGTGCTCTCTTGTTGCCAGGAGGATTAGATGAAGCTCTCAACAACATCTTGAACATGTGCCGGGAACAGAATGTGCCTTTCGTGTTTGCTCTTGGGCGGCGAGCACTTGGCAGAGCATGTGCCAAACTGGTGCCCGTCAGTGTGGTTGGGATATTCAATTATGAAGGATGCGAGGTCAGTTAGTTTCACTTGTTATATTAAAGCTTAGCTTATTTGTTCAGCTGAAGATAGTTATCACTAAAATCACAGGGAGCTTGTATTGCAGCAGGAAGTTCTCAGAATCCATGCCACATGGTAGTGGTCACCATGTCTGTTCTGAGCCTTATGTCTCATGTACTGCTGATCATTCATGTCTTATACACATGTACCTCTGTGCCATAATACAGTACTGCTTAGCATTCTTTCTCTTAGTTTCCACCTGCCTCTCTTGTCCTAGAACAGCTATCAGACTTCTCAGGGTTGGGAAATTTGGTGGTCGAGACGATATCCTAGCATAAGCTAGTGAAGTAAAGATGGTGGTTTAAATAATATCTCAGCACAAGCTGTTAAAGTAAAGGTGGTTTATGTGATTTCCCAGCATAAGCTTGTGAAGTAAAAATGGTGGTTTATGTGATCTTCCAGCATAATCTAGTGAAGTAAAGATGGTGGTTTAAATGATAACTCAGCACAAGATGTTAAAGTAAAGGTGGTTTATGTGATATCCCAACATAAGCTGTTAAAGTAAAGATGGTGGTTTATGTGATATCCCAACATAAGCTGTTAAAGTAAAGGTGGTTTATGTGATATCCCAACATAAGCTGTTAAAGTAAAGATGGTGGCTTATGTGATATCCCAGCATAAGCTGTTAAAGTAAAGGTGGTTTATGTGATATCCCAACATAAGCTGTTAAAGTAAAGGTGGTTTATGTGATATCCCAACATAAGCTGTTAAAGTAAAGGTGGTTTATGTGATATCCCAGCATAAGCTGTTAAAGTAAAGGTGGTTTATGTGATATCCCAACATAAGCTGTTAAAGTAAAGGTGGTTTATATGATATCCCAACATAAGCTGTTAAAGTAAAGGTGGTTTATGTGATATCCCAACATAAGCTGTTAAAGTAAAGGTGGTTTATGTGATATCCCAGCATAAGCTGTTAAAGTAAAGGTGGTTTATGTGATATCCCAACATAAGCTGTTAAAGTAAAGGTGGTTTATGTGATATCCCAGCATAAGCTGTTAAAGTAAAGATGGTGGTTTATGTGATATCCCAACATAAGCTGTTAAAGTAAAGATGGTGGTTTATGTGATATCCCAACATAAGCTGTTAAAGTAAAGATGGTGGTTTAAATGATCTCTCATCGTAAGAATTTAACGTAAAGATAGTGGTTTATGTGATATCCCAACATAAGCTGTTAAAGTAAAGATGGTGGTTTATGTGATAAAGTAAAAATCCTCGTATTGCTAGTGGTGCATAGGGTCTTTGTGATGCTATACTTTAAAAAAAAAGACTTGCAAACTTTCTTTTCATTCTCAGTCTCTTCAGAACATCTGTCTTTCATTGTTTGTGTGTTCAAGAAATAACACATATTCTCCTGTTATGTCCACATCTCTAGAAACAATTCTGTATTTATTCTTAAATATAATTTAAAAAAAATAACCAATTGATTGTGTTCACACAGAGCAAGTACCAAAGTCTCATCTCCTTGACGGCAGCTGCAAGAAGTGCTTACAATGAAATGGTTCTGGCTGTGGAGAAGGAAGTGGCAGAGTATCCTACCATGTTATCACAGACTTCCAGCATTGGTGGAGTACCTGGACTCTTTGCAGCTCACATGGGACATTCCAGGACTCCGTCTGGATGCAGTGCCATCTCTTTCACCAGCTCCATCTTGTCTGAGCCAATATCGGAGAATTTCCCACACGCTGAACCTGAAGTGGACAGTAAAGTAAGTGGTTCTGTGTTTTCACTTAAATCTGTGGGTGGTTTAGGCTTCTCTGTTGTCTGTTTCCCAATAATATACTCTACACAGTGTTTGCACTTTGAATTAACCCCACCCGTAAAGACTTGGATCTGAGACTAGAATGTTATTGAGGTTTTTGTTTGTTGGTGTCATCTCTTATTTAAAGGAATAGATACTCATGTTCTGTATCGACACAACATCCACCCACTCTGACACACATACAGTGTGAAACTTTGAACTGACCCTACATGTGAAGACATGTGCTGACGACTGCATGAGTTTTGAAATATACTGTCTGTATTCAGTTCCATGAAAACTTGTTTACAACTGGCAAGATTGATGTCAAGAGAGCAAGAGGAAGGCAAAGAGATAAATAACCTGGATGGTCTGGTCTCTTCGATGGGCTAAGACAAAAACATTCGCCTGTTCTGTGATTCTGGTGATTGTGTGAGATGGCAAAACATGACAGCGTATGCTTACCATCATGGTACATGATGATAGTGATGATGATTTAGTTCCATTAGTGTCATTAAAAAGTGGATACAAGGTTTAGTTACAGAATTCGGGATTGTGAATGTATATTGAGGCGGGGTATACTTAATCTTTGAATGTGTATCCTTCTGTCCCCCCAAAAAATGCAATAATCTTGAATTGCTGTGTTGTGCCATAAGTCATCTTGTAATTGCTAACTGTGTTTGTATCCTTCCTTTGCCAGGGCTATGAAATCGTCCGTGATGCTGCTGGCAATGTGGTTCACCCAGCTGGAGCTAGTTCCAAGGGTGCTGGTGTGTCTCCTGACATAGATGATGGCAACGAGGCAGACACCGAGGACTTTGGTGAAACACGAAAGAAACGTAGAGGCCGGGCAATGAACACAGTGAGATTTGGAGGCATAGGTGATGTCGTCGATGGTAAGGATACAAGCATGGAGGCTGCTGGTGACAAGAAGAACTCTAGTACCGGTATTGACAGTGCTGATGATATGGACGAACGGAGCACTGTTGGAAAACTGAGCAGAAATGTCAGTGAGCTAACCCTGACCAATGAAGATAAATTTATTCCAAAGTGTACTGGGAAACATGAATCTCAACGTAGAGATTCTGAAGATGATAGTGAACAGTTTGATATTAACACAGCTACTGGTGACACAGAGGCAAGCAATGCTGACCATGAAAATATTTACCGGGGTGCTAAGAGCCCCAGGAGCAATACCTGGGCTCCTGTATCTCATATTGACTCCATCCACAGCCAGAGCTATAATCTTGGGGATGAAATTCTTTCGCGCCATTCAGCACAGTCACATGACTCCAGGGTTAGAGGTCACCATGTGACTTTTGTCCAGAATTCAGAGCTTTCCCCATCAACCTCAGCTGCAGTTGGCAGGGATGATCTCTGCGCAGGTCAGATATCAGACTTTGCTGACGAAGATGATGACGTTGATAACAATGTTGATGATGTAGCTAATATGGAAGGAGAAGAAGAAGAGGAACAAGAAGAAGAGGAGGAGGAGGAAGAAGCAGAAGATGAAACATCAAAGAGACATCACAGAGTTATTGATAAGGAAAGAATTAAAAGCTGGTTGGAATCACAGAGTAACATCTCAGCAGAGGATTAAAGTACATTTGTTAACATGTCCTTTAAGACGTAGTACTGATGATGTTTGTTAACATTTCTTTTAGAACGAAGTACTGAATGAAATTTGTTAACATGTCCTTTAAAACTAAGAACTGAATGTTTGTTAACATTTAACAGTGTTCATGATAAGAAAAAGCATAAGATAACACATGAAAATATATTAGAGGTCTCTAAATGCTGTTGTGAAGAACACCAAGTACAACAATCTCCCTGTCATGGGAAGAATTATTGTCCACTGTATACAGCCAGATGGAACATATGGCTATCAGTCCTGGTCTTGTAATTTAAAAAAAAAGGTAATTTTTTGGGGCCTCAGAGATGTTGTTTCCCAGAAGCTTACAATTCACTGGACAGCCAAAATGATTAATGCAGAAATTTTGAAAGAGACAAAGGCCCAATGACAACTTATCACAAACATGAGAAAGAGGCAGTTGTAATTTTTGGTCATGTTGTGAGAAGAGGGAAACTGGAAAGATTTCTGGAAAGAGGCACAGAGGAAGACCTGGCGAGAAAATTCTGACAGCTTTTGTCATAGCATGGAGGGAAGTTAGTACTTGAAGTGATACATGCTGGCTGGGATGCAGGCATGATCGTCAGTTACCAGTTGGCAAGGTACTTGATAATAATGATAAGTGCTATTGTTGACATGCCCTTTGAAACTAAGGACTGAATATTTGTTAATCTCAACAGTGTTTTCATGATAATAAATATTATACTGTGTAGATAACAAATACAGATATATTAGCAGTTAAAGAAATTTAATGGATTTCGGTGATAAATTAATGTAAACTTCAGGTTTTTATAATAAAAAAGAAACAATACAGAAGATGGTTTGGTTTGATTTGATTTGATTCAAGAACCGACATCACAGCACTCGGAGCATTCTCATAAGCGCTCCGTCCCCATCTTCAGCAGCCAGTGAAGAGTTCGGATACTAACGGTGCCAATAGCCTTCTGATTAAACGTCCGTCTCGCCTTCCCTCTGTGCCTCAAGCATCTGGCAGAACCTCTCGTCACGCCTCCTGCATTAATCTCACCAGGCCGTGGTGATCCATCTGCTTCTCCGAACTGTACACACTCTCCCACAAGGCAGTAACCACGTCTGCCTTATCATGCATCAGTATTCCACCAAGTGGTTCAAAGCCAGCCAGTCTGTCCGCCTATTCATCCCAACACACCAGCGTCTCCCGGTGAAAAAATCCAGACAATACTCACCCGTATTCTCCGCAGTCAAGCATGCCACTCTGCACGAAGCATGCCTCTCCTGACGTTCCTCAGCATGCTTTCTGAGTCAGTTACAATCACAATGTGTGTGTGTGTGTCATGTTCTCTAACCAGCGGAAAGATGCAGTGACCGCTTTCACCTCCATTCTTAAGCTGGATGTTGTGGTATAATATGCTAGGCTCTCCTGCACCAAACGTCGACCATTAACTTTTGCTAAGAAGCTCCAAGCACTTCTTTTCCCTCTTGAAACTGAACCGTCTGTGTAAATGATCAAATACTCTGAGCGAGCATTATCTTGAATTAATTGCTGAATTTCCACCTCTGTGGCACCTGCTGACCAGTCTCTGCATTCCCGGCTCAGCGTGATTATGACTCAATTCGGACTGTTCAGGTGGCAGTTTGACCAACTTCTTTCCTCGCCTAATGTTCTCAAGGATGCAAACCTGTCTGATATACAGAAGATCAGAACCGCAGTAGCACAGTTTCTAAATGCTGGCCTGAAAGTTTTCTGTGCACATCTTCAACAAGCTAAATTTTATAGTTGCCCTGATCTCTCAGCTTGACCTAGCCCCAAATAGTTGCCCTGATCTCTCAGCTTGACCTAGCCCCAAATAGTTGCCCTGATCTCTCAGCTTGACCTAGCCCCAAATAGTTGCCCTGATCTCTCAGCTTGACCTAGCCCCAAATAGTTGCCCTGATCGCTCAGCTTGACCTAGCCCCAAATAGTTGCCCTGATCTCTCAGCTTGACCTAGCCCCAAATAGTTGCCCTGATCTCTCAGCTTGACCTAGCCCCCAAATAGTTGCCCTGATCTCTCAGCTTGACCTAGCCCCAAAATAGTTTGCCCTGATCTCTCAGCTTGACCTAGCCCCAAATAGTTGCCCTGATCTCTCAGCTTGACCTAGCCCCAAATAGTTGCCCTGATCTCTCAGCTTGACCTAGCCCCAAATAGTTGCCCTGATCTCTCAGCTTGACCTAGCCACAAATAGTTGCCCTGATCTCTCAGCTTGACCTACCCCCAAATAGTTGCCCTGATCTCTCAGCTTGACCTAGCCCCAAATAGTTGCCCTGATCTCTCAGCTTGACCTAGCCCCAAATAGTTTGCCCTGATCTCTCAGCTTGACCTAGCCCCAAATAGTTGCCCTGATCTCTCAGCTTGACCTAGCCCCAAATAGTTGCCCTGATCTCTCAGCTTGACCTAGCCCCAAATAGTTGCCCTGATCTCTCAGCTTGACCTAGCCCCAAATAGTTGCCCTGATCTCTCAGCTTGACCTAGCCCAAATAGTTGCCCTGATCTCTCAGCTTGACCTAGCCCCAAATAGTTGCCCTGATCTCTCAGCTTGACCTAGCCACAAATAGTTGCCCTGATCTCTCAGCTTTACCTAGCCCCAAATAGTTGCCCTGATCTCTCAGCTTGACCTAGCCCCAAATAGTTGCCCTGATCTCTCAGCTTGACCTAGCCCCAAATAGTTGCCCTGATCTCTCAGCTTGACCTAGCCCCAAATAGTTGCCCTGATCTCTCAGCTTGACCTAGCCCCAAATAGTTGCCCTGATCTCTCAGCTTGACCTAGCCCCAAATAGTTGCCCTGATCTCTCAGCTTGACCTAGCCCCAAATAGTTGCCAGGAAATGTTCAGGTTGCTGTGATGATGTCCACATCACCCATCGAGTAGCTGTTGGTCTATAAAAAACACATGGGCTCAGCACCAGATGCACAATACACCCATGGCAGGAAAAGGTGGCTTTGCTTTTATGTTTTATTTGTTTAATTGTGGTAATGGAGGAGGAGACAACACTGTTGTTATTGATGACGGCTGTGGATTCAAACCCAAGCCTGAAGAACTCCACCAAGTGTGTGAGTCTGTGGATAAGACTGGTCAATCTGGAAAATATGATAGAAATAACAGTTACCATGTCTTGTGACCTGTCAGTATTTTGGTGGATGTCAAAAATGGGGTGGCCATCTTTAAATTATCATTGTGATGTAGCTGTGTTTGCACCATGATGTCACGTCCTTAAAACTCGGGACATCATTATCATGATAATTGTAATTTCTATCACACTTTTAAGGTGCATATTGCATGGGATATCTGTTTGTCTGCTGTGTTTTTAAATTTGTTAATAACATTCATAATTGCTGATTTTTTTAAATTCTTGATTTATTTAAAATCACTAGTCAACTTTGTGAGCTAGAATAATTGGACATGTTTGTATAGACTTACTCCATGTACATTGTCATGTATTGTCACTTTCTGAGTTGAAAAAAACACATCATCCTTTGTAATGTATGCACTGTTGAATTCCAGTTAAATAGTTTGGGACTGGTTGTTTTATTTTGTATATTTGTTTCGCTGCTTTGTTTACCAAATGGAAATGTGAGCAAGAAAATATTGGTGTGTCTTACCTCAGCATGGAAGTTGGAAGGGACTAGAATGCTAGAAAGAAAAGGTATAGGCAAGATGGAAGATATAGACAAGATAGACAAGGTATGATAGAAACATAAAATTCACACACACACACACACACACAAAACACATAGCTACTGAAATAAAATGCCGGGAGGTCAACCCAGTCAGCAAATGTGCAATAAAGTTGGATGTGTCAGCTAATAGGTGGAAAGTTTGGAGCTTTTCTGTAAACAGGCACAATGCAATTACATCAGTTTGAGGAAATGTAAAGAAAAAAGAAACATGCATAGTCATAATTTTGACACTCAAAATCTTTGTAATATTATTAGTGAAATAGTTCAAATTGCACGCAAGATTATCTTTGGGTTCTACCAATCAATTCCCAGTTGTTTTGCATCTGGGTCATCAATAGTTTTTAGGCATAAGGCTTTGACATTAGTCTGATGTATGGCCTCCTCTGGCATTGATCAACAACCGGTATCTTCTGCGCATAGATGAAACCAGACATCTGATGTGGTCCTGTGAGATTGCCGCCCCTAGAGTGCCTGGAACAGATCACGGTAATTGGCTGGAACAACATCTTGGCGACAAACTCGTCTATGCAGCTCATCCTAAATTTGCTCAAAAGGTCTCATGTTTGCAGGCAGGGTTGGCCAGGGAAGGGTGAGAATTGTTGACAGTCAGGAACTGCATGGTCAGCCATGCAGAATGGAGTCTGGCATCATCCTGTTGAAAGACAGACCTTTCGGTATCCAGAAATGGAAGGACATGGAGTGGAAGAATTTCATTGCTGAATTGTTGCACATTCAAGCAGCCTCCTCTTTTGTGATTGATCTTTCCCCATACCATTGTATCACCTTCACCACCATGTGACGGAGCTTCATTAGCACAATTTTAGGCTAAACGTTAGTTTCACCTTATGTAGACCCTACGTCATCTATCATGACACTGCAGAAGAAAGATTCATCACTAAATCAGACACTCGTTGGCCCTAAGAAATTGATTTTGGAAAAATGCTGCGACATGTACTCAGTGAAGCCGACATGCTCAGATTCTAGTCTATTGCGAACAGCTTGATCAAACACATGACACCCTGGAGGCAAAGGTTGTTATAAACATGTTCCGAGGTGACGAAGCCGACTGAAGTGATCCTCTGCTGCTGTTGTCAACTCTGGGTCATCCACTGCAATGCTGGACTTCAACTGCACCAGTGGCTTGAAACTGCTAAAGTCAACTGTTGGTGCTGGAGTGCGCGTTTAGATGCCTAGCAGTTTGACTTTCGCCTGCCTGCTGTCAGCCAATATCAATGTTCCTTAAATTTATCGGTATAGACACCATACATGTTTGCT